AAGGTAGAAGATACACTGCTCCTGACCTTCTCTAACTCTCTGATTACACCCCCCCCCGGGATACCACCCCCCCAAAAATGCCTTCCATAGGGTAGAAGATACTCTGCTCCTGACCTTCTCTCTACCTCTCTGATTACACGCCCCACCGGGATATCACTCCTCCAACATGACCTCTATAAGGTAGAAGATACTCTGCTCCTGACCTTCTCTCTACCTCTCTGATTACACGCCCCACCGGGATATCACTCCTCCAACATGACCTCTATAAGGTAGAAGATACTCTGCTCCTGACCTTCTCTCTACCTCTCTGATTACACGCCCCACCGGGATATCACTCCTCCAACATGACCTCTATAAGGTAGAAGATACTCTGCTCCTGACCTTCTCTCTACCTCTCTGATTACACGCCCCACCGGGATATCACTCCTCCAACATGACCTCTATAAGGTAGAAGATACTCTGCTCCTGACCTTCTCTCTACCTCTCTGATTACACGCCCCACCGGGATATCACTCCTCCAACATGACCTCTATAAGGTAGAAGATACTCTGCTCCTGACCTTCTCTCTACCTCTCTGATTACACGCCCCACCGGGATATCACTCCTCCAACATGACCTCTATAAGGTAGAAGATACTCTGCTCCTGACCTTCTCTCTACCTCTCTGATTACACGCCCCACCGGGATATCACTCCTCCAACATGACCTCTATAAGGTAGAAGATACTCTGCTCCTGACCTTCTCTCTACCTCTCTGATTACACGCCCCACCGGGATATCACTCCTCCAACATGACCTCTATAAGGTAGAAGATACTCTGCTCCTGACCTTCTCTCTACCTCTCTGATTACACGCCCCACCGGGATATCACTCCTCCAACATGACCTCTATAAGGTAGAAGATACTCTGCTCCTGACCTTCTCTCTACCTCTCTGATTACACCCCCCACCGGGATATCACTCCTCCAACATGACCTCTATAAAAGGTAGAAGATACTCTGCTCCTGACCTTCCCTCTACCTCCCTGATTACACCCCCCACCGGGATATCACTCCTCCAACATGACCTCTATAAAAGGTAGAAGATACTCT